TTATAGTCCTTCCTGTACTGATAACTTTCTAGAAATTGTCAGAAAGAAGGGGATGAGCAATCTTACTTAGTAATCTGCCAATTCTTTATTTATTTATTTAGAGTGCTTGCACTTACCCAGGCTATTTTCGATTGTTGTAGCAGGATGAATGAGCTTCTCTAGAATGAAGGATAGAGGATCAGGTGCCTCTGTAACCCGTGTGACTTGTACAGGAATAACTCCAGCACATGTAATAGAAGCATCTTAATGGGCAGACTGCATGATTTCTGCATTACACCCCCACTTGCTGCCTCCTTGACTGTGTTTTGCCACCCATATATTCCATACAGAAGTTCTCCACAGAAGAGCAGTAATTGTTTCAGGTTTTAGATGTATCGGTTCACTTTCAGGGTTCTGATTTTGCTATTAAAAGGTATGATAGTGGTATATATCTGTGCATCTGCAGGGAGCTGGTTTGGTGCCATGATGTGATCCTGAAAGTTGTATCGTAACTGTTATGGGGCTTAGTGTCTAAGGAAACAGATCAGGGCTTTGTAGAAGCACAGTGGGAGATCTACCATACGTGCCTGGGTCAAACATATGGCAAAAGTGGCAGATACCACTGTGTAATTCTTAGCTAAAGAGTTTCACAGAGCATACCTTGTATTTCCAAGCTATTCACATTAGATGGGCTCCTGAGAGAAATTGTGAGACAAAAGAGATTGAAGAACCTACGCGAGGTGGATACCAACCAGCAGCAGTTTATCTCTCTTTACTGAAAGCAGCACCATAACTGCTATTCTGATCTTTGTAAGCAATCAGCGCGTGGAATAAAGCCTCTGGCTGGAGCCAAGCTTGAGCAAGGAGGCTGCTGTGCCACCAGGGATCCTGCTCCCACAGTATTGCTTTGGAGTTTGCTTGGGCTCTTCTGCTGCTCTCAAGGAGAACACTTTCCTTCATTGTCACGGGCAAAACAGTTTTCAGTTGGGGAGTTTGACTTTAATTTATTGCCAGTTAAAGTAGTATATGAGTCAGTAATTAAAAGTCTGGGAAACATGGAAGGAAAACAATGAAACAAAGATGGGGGAAGTCCTAGTCCCCTTCCAACAGCACACCTGGTTTTGGCCACAGGTTGCATACACCCAGTCCTTGCTGGTCCTTTGGATGGGGCAGCACAGGAGGTTGGGTCAGTACATGATGGTTTCTTGCTGCCACTTCAGCTTTCTTTCTCTTTTTTTTCCCCTGCTCCTTTCTCCTCATGCATTTCCTCTGCTCTGGCAGTGGTCCTCCACAGGCCCAGTCCCTTGGGGCTGTCCCTGCCCCAGCATGTGTCCCCATAGCCACAGTCTCCTCAGAGGCCTTTATTTCTCTTTTATCTTACATATTTGAATATTTTCATTTCCAGTGTCATTATCAAAACCAGTATGGACAGCTCAGGTACTTGTCTTTGTTCTGCAAAACCTAGACTAGGACTAGTGGGGTGGTCCTATGGCATCTGAGGATCCCCTCAGCTCTTGCCCTGGGGTTTGTTGGAGAGGAACGTGGACTGCCCTCTGCTGCTTTGCGAGCTCAGGAGGGGCTGAAGGAAAGAAGAGGATCAGAAAAGTCAAGACAGTTGGTGTATCTGACATTGGGTGAGAAGATCTCCCCTTGAAGGTGTCCCAGGACCTGCCTGAATAACGAGGCCTGTCAGAGGTAGGCAGATAAAGACCGAGTGCCTGATAGTGACAGCAACGGTGTTTTATCACGGGTAGAAATATTTTACGAGGGGGCTGATAGCATAGCCAGGGATCACGTCTGACCTGCCAAACACCAACATCTCCCCTTCACAGTAGTTCCTGTGGACAGCACAGGACAGAGGAGCAAAGTGCTTTGGCCTTGCCAGCAGAGCACAGTTTGGGCCTGGGTTCCCCTTCCTGACAGCAGGAGCAGCCAGCAGCACCTCTGGGGCTCCTTTCTGGAGTCAGCTGGACTTAAAAACAGAGCTGGGAGAAGATGTCTTCGTACAGTGCGATTGAGAGCTCGCGTTGGAGGTAATGCTGCAGTGAGGAATTACTTTTTGTCACCGTTGTTTAAAAACAAGGAACCTTTTCTGGTGCTCTGCCCTTTTCACAGTCTGTATGTGTTTGTCAGCCTCGGTTGAGCTTTTAGAGAAGGGTTTTGCACCAGCGTGAGTATCACAGTGGGAACAAGAAGAAGTTGGACGTGCTTGAGTGTCTTGTCAGGTACAGGCTGTTTGCTGTCAGTGCCACAAGGAGCGTGCAGCTGGGGATCGCTGGGTGCCTCATCTTTCTTTGGGAAGGCCCGGCACTGGGAGACCACTGCGAGTGACATGTCAGCTCTGAGAGCCATCAGGGCAGCCCTTGGGGCCTTGCGACTAGAAGAGCAGCTGGTGGTGGAGGTGGAGATAAAAATACACTGCAAGGCTGTCACACAGGAGGGAATACCAGGCATTACACAAGTCCTGGTGTTGATAGAGCAGCTACCTGAAAGTGTAGAGGGATACAGCCATCCAAAACCTATGTACTCTTCTTTTTCTGTCATATTATGCATGTACCAAATATACGTTTAAGATTTGCTGGAGTTTGTCTTTCAACCATATTCTCCCATTTCTATGCAGTGCATTCATTTTAGAGACTTCTTTGCAGTTTAAACCTCTGTGAAACATAGCCTCTGTTTGTTGCTCAGAAATCCCTTAATCACGGATGCTGCTTTCCTGCAGTAAATGTGGCCTGTACACACTCCAGGATGTGGTGTATCTGGCAGATCCGGAAACACCTTTGAGCTAAGCACATGTAGAGTTTTAAAATTTCTTGTCCTTGATCACTGTGTCTTCTAACACCATAGTGAGAGATGCCTCACTGGGCTCTGAGTGACTATTTCACAGATCCCATCCCAACATCATGGTGTTGCAATGCCACTGGTATTGCTGCTGAAGATCAGGTCCTTGCACTAGCAGTGTTGAGGGAAATGATTTCAGTGTCTCTGTGACTTCCAGCCAACCATTACTACTATAGAAATAACATATGTGTTCATCACCGGAATGCTTCTTTCCGTCACCATTCAGGCAGGGCTCAAAGGTGACAGAAAAAGCAGATTGTCCTTTAGCTTAATAGGTTGCCCTGCAGTTTTCTGATGCAGAGATCCTTGGCTTAATTTATTGCTGGAATGGATTGCTTCCAAATAAGGATAATCCTCCTCATGCTGTTTCTTCACTTGGTTACCTTCATGTTCTTTTCACTGGCAACATCAGCCTCTGCAATTCTGGTTTATTCTTGCCAGGAGACTCTTATTCATTTGCTGTGTTTATTGTAGTTATGGCCCTAAACCTGCTCTCTTCGGTAGCTTAAAACTTTCCAAGACAATTGCTTTGGGCCCTTGAACTTTTTGCTCGTGTTTTCAACCCAAAAATGAGTTCCAGAAGAAGAATCTGTTTGGCTGTGTTGGTAGACAGGATTTTAAAGTCAGGTCTTTTTTTTTTCCCCTTTTCCTCTGGCTAAGCACATCGAAATTAATGACTTTGTGCTAGGTCAACTCCTGCTTGCATAAGGGAGAGAAAGTGCCAGGAGTTTGCTATCATGAAATTCCTACAGGAAAGCTGCATACAATGCAAAGGCATCTCTCACAGCTGCTCTTTAATAAAATGAGATGTTTGATCTGGCTTAATGAATCTCCTTGGCCCTTGAGGCTGGACCCTGGCTTTCACGAGGGTGCCTTGAAAGAGTAAGAATGCTTCCAAAAGAGATGATTGGGTTTTACCTTCAAAATATCAAGTGCTCTGAGATCTGAAGTGGCTTTGGCACACTCTACTCCCTCCTGTCCCGCTGCTGCACTCCTCTGTACTCACATGACTGCGGAGAAGCAGATACTAGAGATGAGAGAGGTAGAACTTGCATTTCAATACATTTGATCCCATAGTCTAGCGCAATCTGATTTTGATCCTCATTTCCTGCAAAGACAAAAGAAATAGCGTATGATTGTCTCTTCCCCTCTCCCATTTGTGGAGCGTTGATGTTCCTTCTTCCTCTTTTTCTCTCTCTTTTTTTTGGGGGAGTGGGTTTGGGAGGAAGGTGAGAACAGGGAGATGGCAGGGAAGGAGTCATTTTTGCAACATGCAGATTCAGATGAACATGCAGAAGTCAAATAGTACTTCTCCAGGCAATCTTTTTCCATGATCACAACATCATAGCCAAGGATTCTCACCAGCAGTCCATAACTTTTTCTTGTAGCATTAGGAAAGAGCACAGTAACTTCATTTTAGCCCTGTGCAAATGTAATTATGAGCAGAAATTCATTTATGCTGGTAATTTCCAACAAGAAGCTCCTCTTCCAAATAGAGGCTGAGAAGAGAGCATGAGAGTGCATTTAAGACAGGGAGGTAACTCGCTGTCTAACCTCGAGAAAAGCTCGTATTCAAATACCTCACGCTGTAACAGACCCTCACTTTCCTCTGCAAGGGGCCTGAGATAAGGCTGCTCTGTGAACCTCAGATGAATGAATTTCTCAGCTCCCACGTGATCCGCATCTCAGCCAGAAAGTTGCATCAGCTGAGCTATTTGGTGCTGCGCTAATTACTGGGTATCGACCAGGGGGCAGATGTTTTTGCATAGCCGACCTCAGCTGATGTTCTGCTGGGCAGCAGCTGCATTAACGTGACAGTCGTCTCCTCTGCTTTAAAGTCAGCAGAGGATATTATCCTGTCTCAGACCTGCACTTTGTTTCTTGGAGTACTCTAAGGGAAAGATGGGGACTGCTTGAAATGTGAAGCTGTGCTTTTCCTGCCTGGTCTTTGGACCAAATGGTTTTAAAATCTGAATATTGCCCTGCCACCAAGAGACAGCGCAAGGTTGCCACAGGTCCTGGGTAGGAAAGCCCTGAGGAGTGGGAAGTTGGCTACTCACCTGTAGTGCAAAACAACTTCATTGGTAGGCAGGAGACTTCAGTCTCTGTGACTTTCAACGTCTTCCACAGCATCAAACTGATATTTCAAAGAGATTAAGAACTGAAGGGAACATATGATATCCATTTAAAGCCAAGACTTCAGATTTAATGAAGGCTGTATCAGAATGAGATATGATTCAGATATCAAATTACATTTGTTTAGCCCAACACAGCTTAATAAATCACAGCAACATTTAATAAATATTTATCTTCTTTTAATCACCAGTTAGTGCTTTTTCTGATCTCCCCATTCCCTTAATGGCTCACTACTGTATTTATTAAATGTGATTTCCATTTCTCAAATAATCAATACATCTTTTTATTTTTTTGTAATTTGGGCAGCTTTACTGAACTTTTGCGAGATTTAATTAAGATTAAGGCTTAATCTTTAATTTCAATATATAAATTACCCCGTGTTCGCAATTAAGTCATTATTTGGTAACCTCATTTGGTACGAAGTCTTGACTGGAAATGTGGCGAGCTCAACAGCAGTTACAGTACAAATGTTAATGAACTTCAGGGGAATCTCGGGATCGGAGGAGGAACTTGGCTGCAATTCCATCTCTGTAGCTGGTGTGGGTACGTAATTAATAATGTGGAATGGGCAATAAGGACGGCAGGCTCGGAGAGGCTGACAGAGCCACTCTTTGCATGGGTGTCTGGTGCAGCAGCAGAAGTCAGGGGGAGGTCAGTTGGAAAACATCAGCCCGTGCAAATGATAACGCTTGTAAATGATGACTCAGCCGCCAGCGCAGCATGTGGCACGCAGGGAGGCTGTGCCTAGGTGCCAGTCCTGCAGAGTATTTCCCATACCACACGTCCACTCCTGCTAGAGCCACATCAGAGCCCCAGTTTCATCCACAGCTGGTTATCAGAAGGGAGACCCCACATATAGTCCAGGTACTGCTGGTGGCAATGACACCTTGCTGTCCTCAAGACCTTGACTGCCACCTAAACTCCTGGGAGGTGACGCTGTGCAGCTATTCTGTACTATCTTCTTCGTCATCATTGGCTCCCAAACTTAAAATAATAATCTGTAAAGCTCAATAGGTGATTGTCAAGGATTAAATTAAAGATTAAACTGAATCTTACTTAAATTTCAGGGCATGTGCATTCCTTTGCTTGTCCAAAGCATGCCATGGCTCTCACCGCCTACTTGCCTGGCTGTCCTTCCCATGGAAAAAAAAAAAATTTTTTTTTTTTGTTAGTATCTTGTCACAGCTTGGTCATACAATTGGTTCTTTTGGGGAGTGGTCCCATGTTCTACCACACACATAGAGCTCATGTCCTTGAAGAGACTGTAGCAGGTAGTTCAAGTCAGATGTGCTTTTGTTGGCCCAGGAGCTTATATCGTTTATTGACTTTAGCCTTCCCTTCCCAGCACTGGAAAGCTTGGTTTAAGTCCTTGCCTGGGGTCTTCTGCTATGTGCAGAAAATTTTAGCTGGTTTACCTATAGAGTCACAAATATAATCACTAAAAAATCCATAAGGATGCATTTAATATTTATGAAGTTAATGCACTGGTCTTTGAATATTCCATGCTTCCATACCATCTGTCACATCTCAGTGTAATAGTCTCTGAATTTTGTATGACTCCAGAACTTCACATCTGCCGTGGTCCCATCTAGAAATCTGCCTAAAAGGGTCAAAGTGCCCCTTTTCCCTCTCCCACATCTAGCATAAACCCCATGAGTAGAATAAAGGCAGGGGTGTCGCTTTTGCCTAAAATGTTGTAGACTTGATTCTGAATTTTTACTTGACACCTGGACAAACTTCTAATCCTTGTAAAATTATCTATCCCTTAAATACTGCCTAACAGTTTTTTAACTGGGCTTTAACTCTGACAGCCTTTTCTTGACATACTTTCTTGATGTTCCCTTCTCTAGCCGTGTGAATGTTGCCAGGTAAAATACATACTCCGATGCTTCTTTTTATAGACTTGAGAAGTACAGCCATTTTATGTCTCATTTGGGAAACAGCCACTGCTGTAAATTAGTGAAGGGCGATCTCCTCTCTCTGCTTCCATCAGCGTGACTATTGCAGTGTATCTCTTCACTTAAGCCTACTTCAGTCGTGGCTCTCTTTTCGGGACCATTTTCCCTTCACAAACACTGTTGAAAGTGAAGGAGATTATCTGAGGAACTTGGTTGTTTCTTTTTGTTGGGTGGTTACAGCCATTTGCCTTTATCTCTTGGGTTGGAAACGGGTTGGGGATAGCAGACGGACACAGGGATGCGTTGTGGTGTTGGCTGCACGAGGTGCTTCTGACGAACCACATCACAGACTGGCTGTTCCACCACAATGCCACAAGTGCCCCTACTGCAGAGACATGAGAAAGGAGCAGGATTTGGTTCTTCTTTCTCCTACAAATCCTCTGGTTGAAATTGTTTGCAGTTGCAAGGGGCTGGACTTGGTCAGCAGGTCCTTTATAGACCAGAAGTGGTTTAGATGGAATAAGACACTGCTTTCTAGCATAGTCAACAAGAGTACAATCTGTAGAAGAAAAGAAAAAGTGTAGTTATATCATATTCAACAGATAAGGTGCATTTTTCCAAGATACAGGGCAATGCTTGTGTTCATTATCCTAAAAGAGTTCTTTTTAGGTTGCTTATTATTGACTCCCACCTTTTGTCTGCCTTGAGACTCCTTGGTGTCTTCTAGAGAGCTTGAAAGGCCCTTGGGCTGTCTGCAAGCAGCAAGCTTTTGTCTTGCTTTGTGGTAGGGTTTGGCATCTGTGGGTCAGCTCAGGTTGGCTGCACGGTGAAGCAAAGATGTGAGGAAAGCTGTGTGTGCTCTTGGGCAGCTTTGGGGGAGGTGTTGTCCACCAAACAGCTCGAAGAGAATCTGGAAGGGTCAGGAGGAGGAGATGGATGCCTAAATGGGGGGAAACATTAAAAGCAATTAAAGTACAGAAGGAGTAGTTCATCAAGAGCGAAGCAGGTGAGGTCCCGGCTGGCCAGCCAGCTGCCCGCATCTATCAGTGCTCAGCACCTGCAGGCAGACGTTTTGTTGTGCATATCCTGCAGCTACCAGCACGGCGAGAGGATGCCTGGGGAGGAGGAGAGACAGAACTGCAGGCACTCGAAGGGAATTTTGCATTGGCACAGGGGAAGATCGCAGCTTCTGGCAAAGCTGAAAAATGAGGTGGGAACACCAGGGGCTGGGCACTGGGAAGAGATTTCTTCCCCTGTAGATCACTAGGAGAGGAAAAGAGGCACACAGTGGTGCTGCTGGAGTGTTGTCCTTCTCTTTCCCACCCCTGCCTCTGGTTGAGGATGGAATAGCCCTTGCCTTCTGCATCTTGTAAGGATGATTGCTGCTATGCTATGCCAGCTGCATGGCTGCCAGCCTCTTCTAATTTGGATGTAATGTATGGCAAAGCCATAAAGTCATTTCATTGCACAGATCTTGTCAGAGACCACGTTCAGAAGCTCGGAGCAAGGGCCAGAAACTGCTCTAGCTCCACAGCAGCAGTTACCCCGTCGGTAATTTTGGCAGGGAGTTTCCATAATTGAGCACAGGTGCCAATTCCTTTAATGAAGCTGCAGATTCTCTGAAGGAACCCCCGTAACTCGCCCCCAGCTACTGTTTCCCCGGGAGGAGGGGTGGGCAGTTTTGATAGACAGGTTGAATTCGCAGCAGAGCATGCAAGGACATCTGGAGAAAGAAGAGGGGACTGTGCAGCTGCCTGTAGCTGAGGAGAAAAAGGCATCTTGGCACAGCAGACTTGGATGCCTTGGGCTGACAGGTACCATGTGAGTTGTGCCTCTCGAAGGCAAAACAGCTGGGTGCCTTCCGAGCACACCGGATCCACAGGCATCGCTTTCCTGGGTGCACTGCTCTTGTTCTGCTTCCCTCTTGTTAGTTTTACAGCCTCAGCAGGAGATCTGATTGTGAGGTAGGGCCTCAGTGAGGGAAGGGTTGGGTTGGGCTGGTTGTGTAAGAGAGAGGTTCGCAGCCAAGCCTGTGCCTGCCTGCAAGGAATTTGATGTGAGTTAGCCAGGATTTCATTGTGGTAAGGCTCTATTAGTGGCAAAGCCCTGCTCACACGTGTGCAATGGCTTAAAAATAGGTTTTTGCTGTATTTTGTGCCGCCTTCTGTTCCCACCACTGTGAGTCTCCCCCACTTAGGCTGAAGGGGAAACTGCTGAGCTTGGAGGAGGTAGCTCAGCCTGTGTGCTCTCACCTGTGCTGAATCACTAGAACATTGCATATACCCTCCACATCAGAGAAAGTTCACCCCAGCCATCAAGGTCTTGAAATCTGCAAGTCTTTTGCCAGACAGTAGTACAGCCATGCTCTCTGGGTGCAATCGCTACATCAGATGCGAAGGGGTGCAGCCCCTCTTCTCCATTACAAACTCTGCGACAGGGAAATCCTTTTTTATTCAGCTCCTTCAGTTGGTTTTGTATAGCCCCTGGCAGAAGAGGACCTGGCCCACAACCACAGAGCCTGAGAGCTGCTGCAATCCATCTGCTGAGATGCTGACAGCGATACGTAAACCAAGAGAACCCCTCCAAAATCAGTGGAGTCCTTCCCACTCTAACAAGATGCAGGCCAAGGTGAGAACAGGGATCAAAGTTGTGCTGTGATGCTGGACTTACTTCTTCTGCTCATGCCTCAGTTTCTCTAGCTGTGAACTTGTTGATTACACACTTTGCTTCCTTATGTGGAGTATTTCAGGTTTCTGTATTGTCTGCAAAGATTGTTGTAATCCCCAGATGTTGTGGGAGTGGAAAGGATTATCATCATTATTTCTGACAGGCAGCTGTAATTTATCTTTGCTTACCAGACCCCTATGGTAGTTTTATTCTGAAATGAGTAAAGGTTATTTCAGCACGGGACTCGTGAGCTTATTTGTTGTTGAGCCTGGTAATAAATTGGCCCCAGACAGTGTTGCCTGAGCTGTGTGAACAGAGGAAAATTTTATGATTCGTAATTTAATTTGTGTTTTCTATTTCTCACTATTTGTATTCTCTCAAAGTCTGAAAGCACTTCTTCACCGTTTGGTCTGGACACTTCCTGTTTGATGAATGCTGATTACTTCCTTTTTTCCTCTTCCTGAGATTTTTTCTTTATTATTATTGTTATTTTATAAAGTACAAAACGACGACTTAATTAAGTCAGTCTGTCTCTTGAAAGTAAAGGGTTTTTTAGTTATTTTAAGCTCCCTCCGCTGGAGGCTTCTGCAACAGCATTGGAGAATGAAGCAACCTCAGGAAAATGCGATTTAACTTTATGCTGTGCGTTTCTGTAGGGAGCGTGACAGTTCCTCCTTTGTCTGTGTCCAGCATTTTCTTTCAGGGGATCTTAGGGCGTTTGACATATGGTAATGTTTTAACCCTTACAAGAGACCTTTGGGAAGCAACCGGAGTGCTTTCAGGGCCAAATAGGTGGATGCAGTCAAAAAGCAACCTTAAGGACCGTGCTGAGGAATGGGATGGGAGGAGAAGGAGGGATGTGGGATTGTGCTGAGAGCTGCAGGGTTCTGAATGGGTAGTGAATGTAGTAGCAGAAAGGGAGGTGATGTTGACCAAACTGAGAAAACCAGGAAAGGAATCAAGTAAAAGGCTCGCAGGACTGCCAGGAATAAAGTTTATAGAGTGAAAACTCTCAGAATTCATCCCACCACCTCTCCTTTTAGGTGTCACCACACGCTCTTCCATCCCATGCCTTTTGCTCAGAACCACTTCCAGAAATGCTGGTGCCTGCTCACCACAATCCAGCTGCCCTCAGAAGCCCTCTGCTTGGAGCATTGCCTGCAGTAAATCCACATCATCCTGGCCCTCCTCACCTTATCCTGGGGAGCTCTCCCTTATCAGGAGGCGCCGTGCATGTGCTTACTTTGCAAAGGTGGGGATGACAGTGCAGAGAGAAAGCTGTTTGCAGGGGTGGTTTTTCTTCATTTTTTGCGTGCAGCTCTTTAATAGCCGTGTAATAAACCAGTATTGATGAAAGAGGCCATTTACCATCAACTTATTTGGTTTTCTGCAATGAGCTAATGTTTAATTAATGTGCAATAACTTTTGCAACCAAATGTATCCCTTTAGATTTACTATAGGGGACAGTCTGAACATCAACTTAAGCGGCCAATGACTGCAAATGTATTTATTAAGGTTTAAACATGTGTAAATGAGTTTGTGTCTATTTGCAGAGCTGTTAAACTACAGTAAATATGTTCTTTGTCAATTGGTGGTTAATTAACATCCATTAGTTCTCCATTAAGAGCACAGTTTGGTGTCTGAATTTCCTTGCTTAGCACTAACTTTGAATTAGGGCCCTATTTTTTCTTCCTTCCACTCAACAGAGTTTTCAAAAGCCGCTTTCTCCGTAGGGCTGGAGCGCTAGGAGCAAGAAGATGTGCCAGTTCTTGCACCTTGCAAGGCAGCAGGTTCGCAAGGGGACAAGTGGCATTTCATTGCTCACCCTTCCTATGTCTGAACTTAGCAGCTTCTCACGGCTCTGCCTCCCAAATTTTGGTAGCCGCCGTAAGCTGGGGAGCAAGCTCAGCTGTTTAATGCCTGCGTATCTCTGAGGGGTTTAGGAGATGTTAATGCAAAAGCTGCTAACGCCTGGGTGCAGGGTGCACGCTGGGCAGATGGCAGGGGTGCTGTCCTCCTGCAGAGGGGGTATTTGGGGTTGGCATTGCTGAGCCAAGGCTTTTAGGGGCCGAGGGGACTAGGTGCAGAGCATCCCCTCTCTCTTGGCCGCTATGCCAGCAAACAACCACAAGGTGACACTGTCCCAGTACATTATTTATGTTTTGACAGAGGAATGCAGATTGTTATTACGTTTAGTATGAAAGACTGCTGTGTGCATCAGGATCTGTTCTGTTTCTTGACTGGGATTTACGGTGTGGTGCTGGCCTCGTGCACTTGCTAGGTCTAGAAATGAAGGAGATTTTCAAATTACCATGCAAACACTGCCTTTTTAACAGGGTACGTAGCCTTAGTAGTGTCGTTCACCCCCTACTTACGCAGTTGGATGAGAATTTCTCCTACAACTGAACTGCCTGACCAGTCTCTGTCAGCATCCCAAGTCATCAGAGGAGTTTTGTCTTTCTCCTCAATTCCTTACAGCATTTGAGGTGATAGAGCATGTTGCTTACGGTCAAAGGTGGGGAGAACCCTGTTTCTTTCTTCAGTTGTGCAAATGTGCCAGAAGGGAAATAGGGGCCCTGAGAGGCCTTTTAGAAACTAGGCTTTTCCCCAGAAACCTCCAGGATCCTGATGTGTTAGGTTGGTTTGTTTGTTTTTTTTGCAAGAATGTTTTCATTGTTTGCAGGATTTTTTTTTTGGATGGTAACACGGAGTGGAGTTAAGCTGTGTGCTACAAGTATAACTTGGGTGCTGAGATAATAAGCAGTCAGACACAGTATCAGAAGCATTTGGGGGGAAAAAAAAGCGTATAGGGTCCATGAAAACACGTGTAAAAGATATGCTTCTAAGGGTAAGCAAACATACAAGTGTATAGGGTATGTGAAAATACAGGTAAAAGTTATGTTTATAAGGGTGGACAAACATACCCTTTTTTGGTTACATTTGTCCCTCGTCTTCCACGGGGTCAGATGTAAAGAGTTAACCAGGCTGTTGGTAAGATCATGAGTAACAGGCTGATGTGTCATGTTCTGTGCCTGCAAACATCTTTGGTTTTAATAACATCAGCTAAATTGGTAGCAATGTTAACTACTTCCCCTTAATTTCTCCCTCATGAACCTCTCTGCCTCCCCGTGTTTTGTTGCTCGGGAATTATTAAAGGAACAGGCAGGGAAAGGAACACAAGCTTAATCAGCTCTGTCTTGTGTGACCAGGCAGCAAAGCCTCCTCCAGCATCCTCATAGTTGGGATCATCAAAAGAAATAGCCATAACGTGTTTGTAGGAGTGGGGACACGTGGAGCTTTGAAATATTCAGGCCAGCTTGGGAAATGCAGTAAATGGGCTTTCCTAGAAGAGCAGCAACTTATTAAGGTCCCTCTGGTCCACGTGCACATTTCCTACCTCCTTGGAGAGGAAGCTCCCTGTGCTCTGTGTCGTGGTAGTGGAGGTGAGTCCTGTGCTGTCATCCCAAAAGACAAGTAATCCGCAAAGCCAAATGTAGTGTAGGATGCTTTCCTGCCTCACAGGAGGAGAGCCAGGTGGCTTCTAAAGCATGAAATTATCTGCTGAGGCTGTCGGGCTTTGCCTTTACTTCTTCACTAAATTGTCCAGCCCTCCTTGCTGCAGTCAGTGCTTCCCATTCACAAAGGCAGTAGAGGCAGCGAGGAATAGTTTGGGGGTGTTTTTCCGCAGAACATCGGGATAGGCAGGCGCAGCCTTAGGGGAGGATGGGGGCAGGCAGTGCCGAACTAATAGAGTTATCAAGTTCAGTGGGGAAGCCTGAACTACAGCTCCCATGAGGCATTCCCTTCCCAGAGGCAGATGCAGTGTACTGCTGAGAGGCTCGAAACAAAATGCACTAAATTCAGAGGGGCAAAACGTTTTGGTTCATTTGAAAAGGCTAAAATGTCCCAATCAACCTCGGTTGCCTTTTTTTTTTTTTTTTTTTGGATAATTTTGAAAAAAATATTTCAGTGCTTGACTCTAATTCAGAATGAAAGCCAGTGCTGGAGTTGTTGGAATTTTCCACGAGGAAAAACATCCTGATTTGTTTTTCTCTGAGCTCAGCTTTGGAAATGGAGGTAGCTGCACTCCTTTCTGTGAAGTGCTTTGATATCCAGGGATGAA